GTACAAATAAATATCCCAAACTCACATGCATTGCCAGGATGCTCCTCGGCACGACCTCTCTGTGCTGTCTGATGCTGAAGTGCCATGTCTTTATACGCATCATGTCATCAAACATAAACTCCAGGTACAGTCTGCCCTCCACACACACCTGAGGAGATGAAAGGACTTCTCAGTAACATCAAAAAAAGGTGGAGGTGGCCTGCTTTAAACTTAATTGTTATGTTCTTATTGCAGAGCTTATTTAATGTAAGTACTCCAAATTCCATTTAAGATCACAACAAGAGTTAATGTGCACCACGTTCACTTTGAAAAGGAAATGAACGGGCAACACATGAAGGCTATTTTTAGGATTTATTTCTGATAATAAACTTTGCATAAAGTGTGGTGTGGTGTACAGCAGTGTTCATACCAAAGGATATGCTTAGTTAATGTTTTAAAACTGTGGCAATAAACGCAAAGGAAAACGATACCTGTGTGAACATGGGTTTGCCGTTCTGTGTAACCATGGTGCACTGATCGCAGTCCAGGGACACAAAGTTATTGTGAAAAGACTCCTTGGGATGTTTCAGCACATAGAAGAGTTCAGTGGCCCCACCCTCAAAAATACTCCTGAAGTACCGAGGGATCAACGTCCTACCAATAGCTGGAAATAGGATTCGGATACAGTGGGGAAAACCAAAATATGAATGCATTTTCTCATGTCTCCGTCTATATTTGATTATTCAGGGTCAAGTTCAAACACAAACATTAAAATCACTGAAGTGACTTTACAAAACAGGACATTACTATATCGTTTAGGCCCATCTTCCAGACAGAAAGTGATCGTCAGCATTGCATCGTCTTCGAAAAACTCTGTAGTGAACGCATCCCACCACAAATTGTCACAGTCCTGCTGAAAAAGCACAAAAAAAACACTATTCACCTATAATCTTAATTAAAATAAACTTACATTTGCTAAGCAGCAAGTAAATGCCATGATTTTGCATGATTTGCATGCATGCCAACAAACTACTGTTTCCATTTCAACAAATGAAAATAAGATTTCCATAACTCCCTTTTTAAATTTGTGTACCATGAATGTTAATTAGGGCTGTACGATATTGAAGAAAAATGCGATATGCGATATTCGATACGATAATGCTTAAAGTGCCACATGCTCAGATGAAACAGTTTTACTCAGCTGTTGCCGAGTCAGTTCTGTGAACTTCTATAACTATCTTGTGTCATATATATATGGTTATTTGTATGTATGTACCAAGACCTCCTGTAAAACCACAACAAATTCCTTGTTTGCGCGCACACTTAAGTGGTGAATAAAGCTCATTCTGATTCTGATAAGAAAACACCCCTACAACAACTTCTGAAAGTGAACGGTATGCGTTTTACTCGAGCATTACATAAAAATGTCATTTTAACATTAGTATAATCATTTTAACATGAGTTTAGGAACTGAATAATAAAAAGGAAAAATAAAACACTGCTTAGTATTTACTCTTTGAATTCAATATGCACTGATTCTTATTTAAACTACAAAAGTTATTTAGGTAAGAGCAGTGAGTGATTTTCTCTTTGTCTTTTGTTCATGGCCCCAAATATTGCAAGCTGTAGCGATATGCATATTGCGATATGTACATTTACGATATTTCGATAATTTCTATATATTGCACAGCCCTAATGTTAAAGGTCCCATATTGTCAAAACTGAAAATTCCTGGCTTTTTTCACGATTGCCGAGGTCTAGGGGCTATTTAAGTACCATATAAGTTTCAAAACAGTCAGTCCACAGTAAAATGCACACAGCCTGCTTAAAGTTCTAGCTATTTTTGACGAACCGTTGTGACTAGGGATGCACGATATATCGGCCACCATATCGGTATCGGCCCATATCGGCTCATTTTTTCTGTTATCGGTATCGGCCTGATAAGAAAATTTGGCCGATATCTTAAAGCCGATAAATAATGCATTATTTCCTTCAGAGACACTTCAGATGCGCGCTGTTCGTTTGCAGCCTTTTGTGCAATTGTACATTGTAATATTGTGTTTATTTGATGTATATCTGATTTATCTCATATAGAATGCGTTTGGTTAAGTTAAAAGAGCACTTCAGTTTACCGGTCGGCCAAAATTTTCATATCGGTGCATCCCTAGTTGTGACTTCCGTAAAAAGTTGATGTCAGAACTACACAGTCACTGATTCAGTCACCACCCCGAGCACCGCCCACAGCCCCACTCTCCTTTTACCAAACCCCCAGACAACATCGCGTCCATGCTCTTGCTGAGCAAGGACAACACGGAAACATGTCGAAAAGGTTAACTTTAACCACGAAACCAGATCAGCCGACCTTTAACGTTACACTCTCACTCAAAGGATGGACGATCTGACAGGATTGTTACTATGAGGTGATCACATCTAACGGGTATAGAAAAGACAAACTCACAGTGGCTACCTCTCTGTGAGTTTTAGAAATCAGCATAGTTAAAATAAATTAAGACATGTCATGCACATTCTTTTCCCAAGTACTCTCTTCACGTCAGAGCTACTTTTTATAGTGTATCTGAGAAACTTAATGCATTCATTTATTCTCAGTCATGTTCTAAGAATTGCACACACTGTTTGATTAAAGCTTACACTGAATTTACCAGAAAAACAACATGTTATAACGCTATTTACACACACACACACAAAAAGTTTAATCCCAAATGATAATCATTTAAAACAATTAAAACTTATGATATTGCAAAGGACAGCATTGAATGCATATTCACACAGATTAATAGCAACCACTTCTTCATCCTCCTCTCTGTTGTTGAGGAAAACATTTGTGCTAAGCTACTACTAAGGTGTAACTTAGCCACACTAACGTACTTAATACATTTAATTTAAAAAAGTACATTGAACTAATTTTAAAAGACACGTCACTTAATTCAAAACACGTATCGCTGATTTATTTTTAGCAAATGATTCCAAGCAAGTCTCGATATTTGTGTACTATAACGACAAACTTGATAGCCTAGCTTAGCCAGGCCTGGCTCGGAACACAGGCAAGGCCCGCGCAGGATCGCGGATTATCCCAACAGCTTAAACAGCATCACCATGGCGACGCAATTCAACGCATTTATTTATCACGTTTTCTCGCTTTAAATCGAACCGTTGCTATGAATTAGCGTTGCACTGAAGCTCAAGCGCACCTGCAGGAATCCAAACTGAAATTCGACGCTCTCTCCCCGGTGCTCCCTGATTATAATCCCGCTCTGTCGGTCGCTGTTGTTAAAGAGACGTGATCTGAAACATCAGCCCGTTCAAATCATGGTGGTGTGCAAAAAGCAGTTACAAAAATGCAGCTTCAGCGCTGGTAGTTGTAGACCGTGTTAAACGGGAACCGGACTCAATGGGGTAACGAGGAAAAGTGCCCGTGCGACCCTTTGTTCCTGCTCATGAACAATAGTGGAGGCCCTTCTTTCTCTCCGTGCAACCCCCCTCAACACTCCCTGCTCTGGTGGAGCATCAACCCCTCGCGGCCCCCTCCAATCAAACCCACCCCTCCCCCAGACCACTCTACTACTGCCTGCACCCTCATACTGCAAACGTACACTTCACGTCGAAAGCCTATATTGTAAATGTGCCAAAAGAGAAACAAGAAACCACTTTAGAGTTGACAACAGTTAAACTTGAATAAATAAGCAAATAACTAGCACATGACTGGGTGCTTTGTTTACACCACCTACACATCTTTTGAAGACCCTGCTAGTGATACTCTCTCTAAAATCATTAGTTTGTAGCACTCAAACTAACAAGTAACCTTGATTTAAAAAAGTAAATAAATAAACAAGAATGCATAAAAACATCTGAAACTTTGCAAGTTAAAAATTGTATATGTATTTAATATGTAATAAAAAAAAGAAAACACAAAAAACATCAGAATGTAGCTATATTTAAATTTGATATATTTATAAAATATACAAGAAACATGAAACATACATTTTATAATATCATGATATACAATTAGTATATTTAAATCTCTATATAAAATAATCATGTAAATCTGTCTTATATTTATATTTTTGAATTTGCCCATGTTAATTTCATTAATGTCACAACTGAAGTCATTTGGATCTTTCAGAAAAATTGAGAGCTGTGAATCTGTCACAAAACCTAATTGCCAGAATTTATGAGGTTTAACTGATTTGCTACAATAAAATATTACAACCAAAATTTGACTGTGAAATCACTACAGGCTTCATCTTCTCCTGCAACAGCAAATTACTGTAAAACTACAAAATAACGAGCTCATGCTGCGATGTGGGACAGTGGAAACACCCATAAGCCCTTGTGTTTGAATAATTATGTATGCTCAGACAAGGAATTGGTTACAATTACAGAATGCGTAGAAAACTTATTTAGAATTAATAGATGTTTAAGGTGTGTGTGTGCACTGGTTTGGGTGGTTTACAAGGACACAAATGGTATTACAATATGAAAGAGGCTTATAAGGACACTGCCTATGTCCCTATAATTCCAAAGGCTTAAAAAACATAAATGGAGTTTTTTTGAAAATCTAAAAATGCACAAAGTTTTCTGTAGGGGGTAGGTTTAGGTGTAGGGCGATAGAGAATACAGTTTGTACAGTATAAAAACCATTACACCTATGGAGAGTCCCCGTAAACCACCTGTGTGTGTGTGTGTGTGTGTGTGTGTGTTTTAAAGACACTATTATGATAAATAGTGAGAGCAAAAATCTAGACTTTATTTTAAATTGGTTTTATTAAGAGTTATATGGAATATAAGCTAAAGATGACTGGCTCAGTGTGATCATAACTTGCAATCTATAAATGCCAATATATGTAACAGAGTGATGGTGTTGCTTAAAGCGAAAGATCTGGGCTGGAAACTATCTAAAAGACTGCTGGCTCAGTCATGGAGATCCAGTCCCAACTATAATCAAACATTCAAAATTACAGACAGGTGTTCGAGCGGTTATGGAAATAAACTCTGCAGAGAGCGATCTCCAGGAACAGCATTAAGCACCTTTGCAAAAAGCACCTAAGCAAAAGGACTGTTCCTATAATTTGGTGCTATTGGTTGGCGAGGTCACGAAAACAAATTCCACTGTCCTGTCTTCACAAGAAATATAAATATGCAAATAAATATGCAAATTCTATCATGCTGAACTTTTTCCTTGTGATATCAGTGCTTTCTCAGAAAACATTTTTTTTTAAAAGAGGAGCATAAACCTAACAAAATATTGGATAGGGCTGCACTCTAAAAAAAAAAAGGGGGTTTATCTATTAAAGGGGTCATATGATGCAATTTAAATTTTTCCTTTCTCTTTGGAGTGTTACAAGCTCTTGGTGCATAAAGAAGATCTGTAAAGTTGCAAAGACTAAAGTCTCAAATCCAAAGAGATATTCTTTATAAAAGTTAAGAGTTAACCACGCCTACCTAAAACAGCTCGTTCTAACACGCCCCCACATATCTACCTCACTATGTGGGAAGATTTGCATAACACTGCCCAAATGTTCACGCAAAGAAAGAAGGCGTAACTTTTATTCTCACTGTAGTATTGTTGCCGCTGCCGCCATGTCATGAAGACGCTGTGTGCTTCGTTGTGAAAGCGAAACTACTTTGTTTGGTCTTCCAAAAGAGGACGATATCCTCTTCGTCATCCCTAGAGTTGATCTGTGCTGGTCGCTGAGGAAATACATCAACTTAGTGCTGCGGATCGCTGGATTGGCTTTCACCATGGATGAAGCGGAGTCCAGCCCGGGGTCGTCACACGTGGTTGCCGCTCCTTCGTCGAATCCGTCGGGCGCACCGTTCTCGACCCCGCCGCCTCTGCTCACTCTAGCCCGTTTCATTTAAAGGATTTGCCACTGATGATTCAAACGCGAGTGTAGAGTAGCACTTGTTGTTTGTCATTTCTCCGATCACAATGCAACGCAACGCGTGAAAAGACAGTATAAGTCA